TGGAGATGTATACGGCTGGTAGAGAGTGTGTGTGTGTGTGTGTGTGTGTGTGTGTGTGTGTGTGTGTGCGTGCTATATTAAGGTGTGGGAGCATGTACCTTACGCTTGTTGTGACTTTCAGATGTGACAGTGTGCTAAGTGGAAGAAAACAAAGGGTTGGCTGTAAGCGGCAGTCTGCTTGTTCTTCTGTTTAACAAGCAGTAAAACAACTGAGGATAAATCAGCACCCAGTTGGGGTGTATATATATATAAATTACTGACAGTTGTCACTGGCAGAGGTCATGCTGTGCTATAGTTGCATCTATAATTTATTTATTTTACAATTTAAACTTGAAATATCCAATAGATTTATTTTAAAATAATTCACTTTATTTCATTTATAACAGCAGACTTTGCTGTGCCAGCTGTCATTTATGAATTTTACAATTTAAACTTGTTTATTTTAAGTTCAATTATATTAATGCATTTATTTTTGCAATTTTATTTTATTTTATGAGGCTATCATTTTTTCCAGTGTGTATTTGTTTCCTCCATTGCATTCCAGTTTTGAACAGAATAATAGCTGTGCACAAATGTTACTTGTAATTAAAATAGTTTGATTCTGTTCATTTCACATCCATTCCACACATATTTCAGTTTCACCAATCGCCCCTTCTCTCTCTCTCTCCTTCTTTTCTAAAAAAAACCATCCAAGTATTTTGATCTCAGAAAATGATTACAACTTAATGCAGTGGTTCTCAAATGGCTTTACAATGGACGTCAAGTGGCGATCATGAATTGCATATTATAGTGAACTGCACGGGCCCAACAATATGCAAAATTACACGACATAGGTTGAATAGGAAAATTACCGTTTTGAGATACATAAACAAGACCATAAACGTGATTTACTGAACACACACTGGGATAAGTATTGCAGTAGTATTAGCCAAATTGCTTAGTGACCAAAATACAATTGAGTTTGATTAGATGCACAGCTGAAGATGATGTCTTATGATGCACAGCTGAAGATGTTTGTCTTATTTTTTAAAAGCTGATAAGCCTATTTGTATTGTTTGGTTACATTCTTTTCATTTACATTTTGCATTGTTTCCCTGATATCCACAACCAAACCAGAACAAACCTGCCTTAACAAACCGGAGATTCAGAAGAGATTCTGACCCCATCATTTCCACACAACAAACCCTTTGTGTATTTATTCTTTGCATAGTCTACCACTGCACAGAAATTGCAGCATTTTTGTGATTTAATGGTTGTACACTACCGTGTTTGTGGTGTGTTTGTAAGGTCAAACTGATAAGAGATTAGACAAGGTGCAGAAAGATGGAGGTTGTTCTTTATTCAGAGAAAAAAAGGAGCATGATATACAGAAACAGAACAGCTCTTCATTCTTGAGAATTGCTGCCTGTCAGATTCAAATGATTACACAGGAGACTGTCTCATCACATTATCTATGGACATGTTCCACCAATGTTTGACAACCAGATGCTTTTTGTCTTCATTTTGAACAGTATATATATATATATATATATATATACAGTATATATATTTTTTTTAAAATCATTTTTAACTTGAATTTAAAAATTGGTTTGTTAATATTTTATGTATATATATTTTTTTTTTTTTTTTTTTTTTTTTTTGTGTGTCAGTGTGTCATTTGGAATTTGCTTGAAAACTTGTGCATATCTTTCTTTAAAACCAAAACCATTCAGTTTGAATACTTTTTCTAATGGCATGCCATTTGTGTCCTTTTGAAGTATCAAAATACTTTTTGGTAACACTTCTTATGTTAAATAACAAAGGTTTGTGAATAAGGATTGGTTTTGAATAGGACTTGTTTCAGATGCCACACGTCTCTTTGTGAGTGCCGTCTCAATGGAAAGCTTTCATGGTGCTACGATCCAAACAGTGAAAAAGCTCCACTCTCCCTCAGCCAGCGCCGGGTTCAGGACCACGGAGAGCTCCTCTCGGCTCGGCCTGTCTCCAGGCAACCATTAGAAGTCCAGTGAACAGATGCAAATGAATGAAAATTTTCCCTCATGGCCAGATACGTCCCCTCTGTGCCTACCATCAATCAGCAAAGAATGAAAAATAGACGTCACTCTCTTGCATCACTCTACTTTATTGGACAGATGCCCTTGCACGGGTACCGCATACATCTGAAGCAAGCAAACAAATGCTTTATTAAAGGGGAATCAGAGGCTGATTTCTCATAAAAGCATGCTATTTGCAGAAGTGACGCTGTCTAGGCCACGTCTGAGTCACTTTGTGAGACAATGTGCTTGAGCATTTTCCCCAGATCTGCATATATAACAGGATTTCTGCAAGGAGATGCTTTCTGAAAAGGCTTCATGTTTTCTGTCAAATTTTATCCTCTCGTTTTGATCCAGTAACACCAAGAATCTCAAGAAGCTTTGTAAACATGACAAAACGTCCTTGTTTATGTTCAGTGTAATTGTTAAAGGAATAGTTCAGCCAAAAATGAGTTTTTCTTCATCTGAACAGATTTTGAGAAATTTAGCTTTATATCACTTGATCACCAATGGATCCTCTGCAGTGAATGGGTGCAGTCAGAATGAGAGTCCAAACAGCTGATAAAACATCACAATAATCCATAAGTAATCGACACGACTCCATCATTTAACATCTTGTGAAGCGAAAAGCTGCGTGTTTGTTAGAAACAAATCCATTATTAAAACGTTTTTGACTTCAAACTGTTTTTTTTTTTCAGCAAAAAATGAGTCGTCTATATTGCTTTCTCCAGTGAAATGTTGTCTCATCTGAATCAGGAGAGAAATATGCACAGATCAGGCCATTTTCAAGCGAAAACAGGCTACAACAGTTCTAAACAAATATGTTGGTTGATTTTGATTTCAGAGGGCAACAGGAGATGGAATTTTTCACTGAAGGAACTGAAGTGTTATTATGTATTATGGACTCATTTTGTTCAGAAGTGATGGTTTAAAGAGTAATGATGCATTTATTATAAACACCAAGTTTTTTTCACTTCACAATGTGTTCATTTTAAGGACTGGAGTATTGTGGATTATTGTGATATTTGGACTCTAGTTCTGATGGCACCCAATCACTGCACAGGATCCATTGGTGAGCAAGAGATGTATAATATTCACAGCTCAACTGTTACTAACCACTAGGCACAGTCTGTCCATATTTATCAGTGTGAGAGCTGCAGTATAAAATGTGACTGCAACCATATCGCATTTATCTTAAAGCTGTTCTGTGGGAGATGTTCCCCTCTGAATTCCCTTGTATTGCAGCGGTGGAGGTTTTTGTGATGAATGCTGCAGACAGGAGTAGTGGGTTGTGTGGGTCAGATAGTTGAGATAAGTCTCACAGATGTTCTGTACTTTGTGCTAATGCTCAAGGATGATGGTTTGATAAAAACATGCTTTAATGTACATATAGATGCACCAAGGTCAAGTGCTTCAGCATTACTTCTTTTACTGCGGCAGTGAAATTAATTTGTTTTAGTATAGGTTTTCATCTATAGTTCTTTGAAAGATATACTCTATGGATAAACAGTGCACAAAATTGACTGAAATTAAATTTGACAATGACCCCAAAATGTATTTAGATATGTAAGCCACACAAAGGAATAGTTCACCAGAAAACTGAAAATTCCCTGAAATTTACTCACCCTCAAGCCATCCAAGATGTTGATGAGTTTGTTTCTTCATTGGAACAGATTTGGAGAAAGTCAGCATTACATCACTTGCTCACCAATGGATCTTCTGCAGCTAATGGGTGCCGTCAGAATGAGAGCTGATAAAAACATCACAATAATCCACAAGTAATCCACACAACGCCAGTCCATCAATTAATGTCTTGTGAAGTGAAAAGCTGCTTGTTTGTAATAAACGAGACGTTTTAAAATTCAAACCACTGTTTTCGACAAAAATACGAGTCCTCTATCTGTAATGTTGCTTTATTCAGTCCTTTTTGGGTGAACTATTCCTTTAAAAATGTATGAATGTCATTGCATTAGTTAACAAAATACCAAACCATGTGGCATTTGTTTTACAAGACAGAGGACAGCCCATGCATACTTTTCGAGCAAAATGTTTTGAATTATTAAAAACAATATGGCACAAAATCACTTGCACCACATTAACTAAACTAGTGCTGCACCATTAATAGCTTTGCATGCAGTGTCGATTAACAGAAAGTTCTGTTTGCCTGCTATATGTGAATTGTGTTTGTAATGGACTGCATTTCTCATATATATATCTCATTCTAAGAAGTAGTTTGCACAAAATCAGTTTTAGAGAACAGTAATTTGGCAAAACAAAGTTCTGCAGTATTTTTGGAATACAGGATATGTTTTTTTTTTCTTGTTTTACAATCCCAGGGCTCCAAATTATTTGCTGAACATCAAACAGGCACCACATTGTTCTACCCACCATGCTCGAGTCATTAAAGGCTGATTCAGAGAGAAGTTGCATGAATTATTATTGTTTGAAAACCAAAACCGACAACCTCAGTATGCAATGAGAACTCATTACAGGTGTTTGATTCTGAATTCTTCTGTGTTTCTGCAGATATTAACATGGCCGGTGAGCCAAAACCTTACAGGCCTAAAGCAGGATCCAAACGACCCCTGACTGCTGTCTACAGGTGAGCGTTTCCTATTAAATATAGGCAGGCACTGTACCTATATATACATAGACTACAAATGGACTGTGCATTTTACTTCAGATAACATACTGCAGTGTAAATGAAATGCATTTGCTGCTCTTACATGCTCCCTTGTTAGGAGAGCTGAGGTAGAGCGGATTAAAGTCTGGTTTGTGTGGCTGAATGAAGCCGTCAGCACATTTGTCATATTATCAGGTTTAGATAACAGAACAGCCTGCGGTCTGCGATTATCAGCACATTCGTTCAATTGCTGAAGTTGCAGTTGTGTCTCGCAGGTTCGGTTAAATGGTTGAACCCTTATAGGAAGCGAAAAGCTCTCCAGACACGTCAGTGAAAACTAACCAAGCAGAAAATGAGTGAAAAATCAATGTTTGAAAAGGTATTAGGCATTTGCTACTTTATTGACAAGCTTTTGTAGGGATTCAGAGCTTTTTATAGTGAACAATACATACTAACTAAAGCTAAATAAATATTGAAACAATTACTGGATTAGCGCTGTTTATGTTTTTGTCCATAAATGTAATGGAATTTTTCCCCCCTTTTATTAGCACTTAGCAAAGAATAATAGAATCATAGTAATGAGACATTCAATTATGGATTTTTGGCAGTTCAATTACTTATGAGCCTGAAAGAGTGTCTATCCAAGGACTTTAGCTTTTTTGGTTCTTTTTTTTTTGTTATATGATTGTATTTTAACTTTAGCTGATATTGGGTTTTTAATTCTTTATTTCTCGTTCTCATTATATTTTTTTGAAATTCATTAAGTCTTGATTTGCATTTCAAATCAACTAATTCAAACCAATCCATTATGTAATTTGAGGTAGGCCTAATTAGGAGAGTAGAACAGGAGCAAACCAACAAAGAAGAGCTTTGAATGCTAATTAGTTTGGAATGAAATGGTCAGAGAAACGAAGAGATGCCTATAATAGAATATAATGAGTTAGATGACCCGAAATCATCCTCATTCCAGTTTTTACAGTTGACAGGATATTCATAATATGCATGACATATATTTAAATACACAATTGCATTAAGTTTGACCTTGTTTGCATCCTTAATTGCTGTCCTGATGTTATTGTGCACAATTAATCATTAGTGCATGCATGGAAATAGGATTATGGAAATAGGAAAACATACATGAACAATCATGTATTTATAAATTAACATTAAGTGCAAGTAATAAACAAATTGAACATTGGAGTATTAAACCCATAATTTAATTCTATCATTTCATTTCTATATACTTACTGTGTGTGTGTGTGTGTGTTATATTATATTATATCCATACATAAATGTATGTAAAAAAAATATTAAATTAACTATAAATAAATAAAATTTATTAAAATTATA